GTCCATTTATACACAGTAAAAAAAATACCCGTTATATTAAAAAAAAACAACATAACGCTAGATTTCGTGTTTTATAAAGGGTAATTACTGTTATGCTCAATGTATAATTCGTATGAAAAAAAACATAACGGCAAATACCCGTTATGTTCAATGTGTTACCCATTATGTTCAATGGGTAATTCGTAATATAACGATATATTTGAATATAGTAGGTCGAACATACCGGTAGTTACCCCTTATAAAACACGTAATCTAGCGTTATGTTAGCATTATGTTTGCAAACCTGATATAGTTAACATTATGGGTAGTTACCAGTTATGTTTGCTAACTTTAATAAATTTTAAAGTAACATTAAAAATATATATATATATATATATATATATATATATATATATATATATATATATATATATTATATACACTCTAAAAAAACTAACGCCAATATAACGGATGATTTTGAAAAAAGTTAACACTATCCGTTATATTAGCGTTATAGATTTTTTTGTGCGTCATAATTTGTGTATGCTTGATCAATTCCTTACAAGTGGTGAAATCTATCCGTTATATTATGCGATTTATTTTTTTTGCTATTCTTGTTCAACACGCTTAAAAAGAAATTCTGAAATGATAACTATATTAATAAAAATATATAATAATAAAATTTAATAAATATAAGAGTTATACACTTAAAATAAGAAAAATATGAAGGCTATAAAAGTTACTTATAAAAATCGTAGCAAAATAGTCGTGACAAGTTTCGGTTTGTTTACATTTCGTCCCCTTAATATTATCTTGTTCTATCTACAAATGTAATCAATAAAAAGTTCTTTCTAACATTACATAGAACATTGTATTTATTTATTATAAATAAATATAAAAATTATATATATTTTATGTATATAATTTTTTTTTGTATTTATTTTACATATTAGATAGATCATTTTATTGATTACATTTGTAGATAGAACAATATAATACCGAGGAGACGATTTGTTCAACAAAATAAGTATTTGTGTTGTTATACCAAAAACTCATATGTATATATATATATATATATATATATATATATATATATATATATTAATTTTTAAATAAAACTATTATATGTATTACTATAATTTGTAACAGACATACATATGGGTTATATAAATGTATGCACATATCGGTTATATATATATATATATATATATATATATATATATATATATATATATATATATATATATATATATGTAATTATATTTTTTAGTTCATCTAACATTCATAGTCATTGAAGTTATCGGTTTGAAATGACTTGGATGCCTAGTTAATGAAACAAATTTTAATGCATTATTAAATGAACTCAATCTTCAGTTTCTCATTCTGATCCTCAATCATCATGTTCCACGTCATTCAGTTTTCTTAATGAATTACAAAACAACAATATTTTTCCTGAAGATATTAATAGTTGCAAGCAAAAACACCTCAATGATTTTTTTCCTGTTCTTTTTTCATTAACTCCTTTTTGTTCAAATCAATTTTGTAACCCCCAATTGATGTTATCAATAATGAAACTCAACCATATACAACATCAAATTTATCTTCAAATACTAGTCAGTTCACAGACACTTTAAACTCTAAACGAAAGGTATTTTCATACAAATGTAATTGCTGTACTTTTACAACTTTAAGATATTGTTTGATAAAGAATCATTTACAAATTCATGGAAACAAAGCTTCTGTTATTTATGATATATGTTATTCAAAGTTTAAGACATTCTATGGATTTCAAAAATATACCGAGCAATGTTCAGCACTTGTAAAAAATAGTCTTGATGTTGAAATAATTGAAGAAGTAGAACAATACCAAGTAACTGATGGTTATATAGGAGCATTAGCTTTGCATTTTCAAGCTAAACACAGGTGTGTTCAAAGCATTTTAGATTCAATTTTTCTGCATCTAAAGGGAAATGGTGTCAGTGCCATATATTAATGTTTCTAAACTAAAATTTTGATGTAAATTTTATGATCTCAAAATTGTCATGAGAAGTATTTTGTGATAGTATTCAAAATGTTTTTAGTTAAATCTGTTGGACTGAAGAAAAGTTGTATAGTATCATTACCAGACACACTGTCTTTCTTACTTAAATTTCCTGAGATTGCTAAATTTATTGATCATAAAATTATTTACTGTAATGATCTCGGTATCACAAATTCATTTGGTGAAGCACGGTCTGCTATTGTTTCGCAGTGGAAGCTATAAAAGTTCCATTTATTTATTAGTGTCATCGACATCTAATAGCAATCGCAAAGTTGTATATTTTCTAAATTGTTAAAAACCAATTAAATGATTTTATGCCCTGTTTTATGATGTGCTCTCATATGGTGACAACTTTTTTTTCCAATGATAATCTCACTGATTATGTTATTTTAAATAAATGACTTACATTTTAAAGATAATTTTGTGCTTGTTATCTTTTCTATTTTGTAGCCTTTAATGACATCTGATAGCAATAGTAAGGTTATATCTTTTCAAAATGATTGTTATGACTTATAAATGATATGCATTATTATGACATAAATAAAATGATATAAATGACTTAGTATGAGAAGATATCTTTTTAAGTTATTGCTCTTTTTAGTTTGTAATTTTTAGTGACAACAGCATTTAGTACCAGTGGTAAAGCTACATGCATCTTTTCTATACGAGTTTATATTAAGGTGTCATTTGCTTATTAGACTTTTTATTTTATATTCTATAGTGGCATCGACACTTAGTAGCCATGGTAATATTATATTTTTCAAAAATTATTATAAACAACTATTGAACTATTGATATTAGGTAATATTTTTAATTCATATAGTATTACTTTCAGATTATGAAAGTAAAACTATATGAATTAAAAATATTACCTAATAATGTCTTAAACAGAAATAAATTAGTTTTTAGTTGCTCCTGAAAAATGTATTGATTGTCAGTTACGTGTTGTTGCCAAATCAGTAGCGATATATTATACATATTTTTAATTAGTGTTATTTAATGGCTGCAACATTTATTACCGATGGCATCAACATCTGGTACCAATGGTAAAGTCAAGTATCTTTTCACTGTAAGTATATAATTCATTTATTTTAATGGGGTTGTCTGGCTATTTTTTTTTCTTTTTTTCTTTTATTTATGAGTGATATCAATGGCAGTTGTGACATCAATAGCAATGGCAAAGTTATATCTTTTCGAAATATTTGTAAATAACCAATTAAATGTTTATGATTTTATATTATACCCTATTTTATAATATTTTTTTTACAATGGTAATCTTACCGATGAAGTTAATTCATTATAAACGACATTTTGAAGATGTTTTTTTGCTTGTTATCTTTTGTATTTTGCAGTTTTTAAATTATTGTTCTGTTTTAAATTATTTGTTGTTAAATTTGTTAAATTAAATTTTTACAATTTATACAATTTGTTTTACAATTTATACAATTTGTTTTACAATTTGTTTTACAATTTATACAATTTGTTTTACAATTAATACAATTTGTTAAATTAAATTGTTCAGTTTTTAAATTATTGTTAAATTATTTGCCTTTTAAATTATTGTTCATTTTATTTTGTAACCTTTAGTGGCACAGTAGCATTGTTAAAACTACATGTATCTTTTCAATACGAGTTCATATTCCATTTATTATTGAAGTGTCATTTGCTTATTATCCTTTTAATTTTATATTCTTTAGTAACATCGACACAGAAGCTATGGTAATGTCATATCTTTGAAAAATAATTATGAACAACTGTTCAAATTAGTATATATTATACCCTTTTTAATTTGTGTTACTAAGTGGCATCAAAATCAAGTAACAATGGTAAGGCTATATCTTTTCAAAATACTTGTAAATGATCAATTAAATGAATATATATTATAAAACAAACATGATTTAAATTCGTTATCTTTTTTTATATTGTAGTTTTGAGTGGTGTCAACATCTTGTACCGAAATATAATGTTATAATATATGTTAAGGTTATATAATATATATTTTTTAAATATTTATAAATTGCGCAAGTTTGTTGATTAACATTGTATATGTAAACTTCAGACATTGTTGTTATTATTTTTTAAATTATTTTATTAATTTTACTATATTTCTTTATGTTTAAAACCAATAAATATAATAATAATTTAACTGAGCATATTTATATAGTGATTATTATCTTAAAACATTATTTTTAAATATTGTGCTCGTAATAATATTATCAGTATAATAAATATAATGCCAAATATAACGCATTTGCCGTTATGTGATTTTCTCTTCAATATAACGCCAATAAAACGCCAGAGTTGAGCAAAAAAAACCGGATAAAACTAACGCCAATATAACGGCAATATAACGCCAATATAACGGATAACTGGCGTTATATTCGCTCAACTGTGGCGTTAAATTTTTTTTGTTCTTTTGGCTTTAGTTTTTTTAGAGTGTGTATATATATATATATATATATATATATATATATATATATATATATATATATATATATATATATATATATATATATATATATATATACACACACTCTAAGCAAAAATCCGTTATATACAACGAATTGAATCTGTCGCTACTGCACTAACGGGAAATCCGTTAAGTTAACAAATTAAAATTTTAACGAATTGAAGTCCGTTAGGAATTGTCCGTTGAATTTACGGATTTATTTCGTTAGTGCAACAAATAATCCGTTAAAATTAAAGAGTTATTACACTAGGCAGCAATTTTTCGCGGTAGTTATTCCTATGAAATAAATGTGTTTATAAGTTATTTTAGTGATTATTTCGTTAAAATCACTAAAATCTAAAATTAGAGAGGCCAGTATTGTGACTTCATAACCAAATAATCCTTATATTTGTTAATGTTTGCATTTTTATTTAATTGCATTATTTTATTTCGATATTCTACATTAAAACGTTTTAACCAAAAATTGAAAACTAATCATATATTTATGATATTTAATCCAATATACTTTAAATTACAACAAAAATACATTAAAAAAAATTTTAATACACTATACTCTAGCTAGTACATTTATATAAAAAATACACATATATATAATAGATGATTAAAAAAAACCAATGCCAAGCTAGTTTTGGTTCGGTTGGTTTAAATAGGTTTTGAATACTGTTGTTACTCGTACACAGGCTCGCACTTTAAATCGGACACCATGCTGTAACCTCCTTAAAGATTAATATGAAATAAAATAAGGAAAATATGGAAACTTAATAACATACCTAGTATAGAACCAATATAAAATGTTATTGATAGCACTGTAGAAAATGTTTTTGGTAATTCATTATATACAAATTTCTATTCTAAATTTTGTTATTTTAATTATCTCTGATATCGTTTTTTTAAAGATAAAGTTAAATGGAACAAGTAAATTATATCTTTATCAAAATGTAAATTAAAAAAAAAGTATAAGATTACCTTGATATTATCTGATAACTAAAAGACTCTATACATTTCACATACATCAATACCTATCAGGAGCAAAAAATAAAGTCTCTAACCTTTTAAAAACTATGATAAATCAAAACAAGATTAAATATGCAGACCAAAAAAAATGCAAGTAACTATATAAAAAAATTAATTTTAAAACTTATTTAAACTTACAGTGTCATACCACTTGTCACATGTTTAAAATAGCTAATTCTAAAATAATAGAGAATATAGAATATAGTAGAATAATAGTTAAAAAAGTATGATTATAAACTTAGCCTTAACTAAACTAAAAAAATATGCATGCCAAAAGAAATGCAAGTTAAAATACAATTTTTTTTAATTTACTAATTAAAACTTACAGTGGGATACCACATGCCACGTGTCTAAAACAGTAAATTTTAAAATGATATAAACACGCCAGATATAAACTTATTATTATTATTATTAATAATAGTTGAAACTCAACTAAATAAATATGTACGCCAATAGAAATGCAAGTTACAATATAAATTTTACAACCAATTTAAACTTACAGTATGACAGCTTATAAAAGTGTCTAAAATAGCAAATTCTGAAATAATATAAACAAGCCATACACAAACCTAGTTGTAATCTAATTATATAAACATGAATGTCAAAAGAAATGCAAGTAAAAATATAATTTTTTTTAAAATATACTAATTCAAACTTACAGTGGGATACCACATGCCACGTGACTAAAACAGTAAATTCTAAAATAATACAAACACATCAGATATAAACTTAGATTAAACTCAACTAAATAAATATGCAAGTTACAATATAAATTCTACAACCAATTTAAACCTACAATGTGAAACTAAATGCCATGCCTCTAAAGCAGCAAAATCTAAGATAGTGTAAATAAATAAACATGAATGTTAAAAGAAAAAGAAGTTACAATATAATTTTTTTAATTTTACGACTAGTTTTAACTTACAGTGGGATAACAAATGCCATGTGTCTAAAACAAAAAATTCTAAAATAATATAAACACACCAGTATAATCTTAGTTTATGATATTGGATGCCACATGTTTAATTTTGAAATTAATAAAAATTGCAATTTATAAAAGCATATTAACTAGCCATGTAAACTTAGCTGTAATTAACCTAAATAAATATATATATATATCAAAGATGTTTACATTTTTAATTTTACAACTGATTTAAACTAATATGGTATGTTACTACATGTCATATGTCTAAAATATAAAATTAAACAAGACTATAAATAATCCATTTAGTCTATATTTTAGAAATAATTGTTCAACTAACCCTTTACTACTAGTAAAGGATTAGTTGAACTTTTATTTCTATAATATAGACTATATGGATTGCATATATTCTTGCATAATTTTCTATATTTAGACATGTAGTAACTTACCATATATTATATGTATTAACTTACCATATACGTTATTATATATTATTTAGTAATACTAATGGCTTTTAATTAATAAAATAAAGTATTTAAAAATTAAAAAATGAAGTAAACCTTATTGTTAAATTTTTTGTATAAAGCTTTATATAGAAAATTTAAAATAAGTTAAACAACCTTCGAAATAACATAGCGTAATTTAAATTATATTTATCCATTTGCTTTGTCTACTAAATGTAAAGCTTTTTAAAAAATGGCATATTACATTTACTCCAACCAACTTTTATCTACGATGTAAATGTAAATGTGAGAAAAACGCATTCAAAACTTTATCATTCTCAAAATAAAAAGATATAATATACTGAAATTTTTTTTTTGACTGATTAAGAATATTTAATCCGTTGAATTAACGAAATTTCAAAGAATCCGTAAACAGTTAATTTTACTCCGTTAATTTTCTGGTTTTTGGTAACGAATTAATCCGTTAATTTGACAAAAAAGCGCAATCCGTTACTTTTTTTAACGGACTGTTTTTAGAGTGTATATATATATATATATATATATATATATATATATATATATATATATATATATATATATATATATACATATATATATATACATATATATATATATATATATATATAATATATATATATATATATATATATATATATATGTATATATATAAAAACAATTATCTTATTAATCGCCTTGAACTTTTAGACGAAGAAAAAATTTTTAAAGTAGCAGTGTAAAAAAAACTAACGCTAATATAACGGATGAATTTGAAATAAGGAAATGCTATCCGTTATATTGGCGTTACATTTCTCTGTGTACGTCATAATTTGTGGACGTTTGATCGATGCTTTTCAAATGATGAACCCAATCCGTTATATTCATCACTTAAATCATAGTCAATAGAATATAACTATGGTCTGAAAGTCTATTGTTGTATGTTATTGTTTGTGTTAATTTGTGTCACGTGATTAATGAGCGTGCAAAACAAAGTTCATACAAAACAACAAATATTATATAAACAAAGTTTACAGTTTTATTCAAACTACAAATATATAAATATATATATATATATATATATATATATATATATATATATATATATATATATATATATATATATATATATATATATATATAGATATATATACATATATATATATATATATATATATATATATATATATATATATATATATATATATATATATATATATATATATAAATAATTAAGTATGCACCTTTTGATTCTTAATTACCCCCCACAAAATGCAAAATGAAGCACTAATTACTATAAATACCATAGGAGCTCATATACAAAAGCGTAAAGTATCGTGGAAAATTATGAAAAAGGTATAAAAGCAAGAAAAAAAAGCACAAGAAACTAGGAACATATGAAAATAATTAACAATATTTTAAGATACATAATTTTATTAATAAAACTAAACACATAACAAGTGACATATACAATTTTACAACATCCTTGTTACTTTTTGAACTTTTTTTAAGCTTTTTACGAAGCCCACCATGATTATTTTTTTGTTTAAATTTTAGTTTATGTTTGGTAATGTCTTTAGCCAAAGAAAATGCTCGCACTCGTAGGTAAAGTTTTATCATATATTCTAAAAGGTTTTTACAAACATCATTATCAATATCAATTCCACATCCTGTCAAGATAGAGTTATAAAAGCTCACTACTTCTGTATCTTTCAGTAGTTTCACAATCATTTTGTTAATGTTAATTTCTTGCAAATGTTTAATATTTGTTTCATTTCGAAATTGAATTTCAGCTTTCACATATATTTGCTGGCATTCATTATTAACAGCTGTAAGTCCACCACGACTTTGTGCCTCAATCAATTCCTGATCTGAAGAATTATTGCTAACAGTGTTATTTAATATTTTTATTATATTTCGGTTTTCATCCGATTTATAATTAGGGCTGTTTTTTGATTTTTTTATAAACTTTTTGACAACATACCTATCTAGATATTACAAGGCACCAATTTCATCATTTATTATATTTTTTATTTGTTTTGCTTCATTGTTGGGCATACATTTAAGTAGGCAAGCACCTTGTCAGCCAGTTGTATTGCTAAAAGGGTACTATTGGGTTTTCCTAATTCAGGAAAATAAGTATCTGCTTCGTTTACTATTTTATTGTAAAAGCTGGAATAATAATTTTCTGCATTGGTTTATTTATTAAAACGTCATAAATCTTTATTACATCTCCATAAGGTGCTCACGTTAGTATAAAGTTATAACACTTGAAACATTCTCATCGATTTAAGTTGTAACAATTATCCTCAGATAATTTTTTTTGTGACTCCAGAACTAAATCACTTAGAATTATGCTATTTATTGTAATTCTACTTGTATCAAAATTCTCTTTTAGTTGTAAATGTTTACAGTTTTGGTGACGGGTAAGTCCTCCTTTTAATTTACAAATTTTCCCACAGTTATCTCACTTAAAACTGCCTGGTGTTGACTCCTATGAGAAAAGAAATCTATAGTCATGTATTAGTTACAAAGCCTATTTTTTTAAATAAATTCTTCATCTAAAAGACCTTCATCCTGAATATCTATCAATAAATCTGCAGAATACTGTGTTAAAAACTCGTTATTTGATGCCATGATATAATTGCGCACACTTTGGTCATGTGATTAAAAAACTATTTATTTCAACATGCGCAGCGTAACAATAAGAAATAACAATAGGCTTCCAGACCATAGTTCTATTGACATAGTTCTATTCTTAAACTTATCCGTTATACTAGGCGTTATATTATTTCGTTCTCAGGATCTTCATATTCCAAACCTTGAAGACAGTTTCTTCAAGTTCATGATAATAAATTTTAAAAAAATATATAAAATTTGATTTACCATGACGGAAATAAAAGCCACTTTCAAAAATCGAAGCGAAATAGTTGTTGCAAATCCGAGTTGTTTGCATTTGTTCAACAAAGTAAGTAAACATATACTTTTATAATTTTTTTATTAACCTAGTAAGTTTTATATTTACACATATATATCATATTCACATCATACATATCTTATACTGCTGAGTTAGGTGAGCATGATAACATCATACTGAAATAGCCTGCTGCCGGGGGCTTCAGTACATACATCGACTGGCAAATAGCCTGACTCGCAGTAGAGTGCTGCTACATCGACTAAGAGTTTGGTATAGGTCAGCAACCTTTTCATTCATTATTCTTCGTTTTCCCTCATCGTTTTCTCAAAAATCCCACTAAGATTAGACTAGCAAAAAAAGTGAGCAATTGCGCTTATAAATATGCTGTAGTAAATATATATATATATATATATATATATATATATATATATATATATATATATATATATATATATATATATATATATATATATGTATATATATATGTATAGATATATGTATACACATATATATATATATATATATATATATATATATATATATATATATAAATAAGTTGACAGAGATCTTAAATCTCAAGATATCAAACTATTTGGATAAAGATACAAAAAAGGTATTTTTATACAAATGTAACTGCTGTACTTTTCAATTTTCTAGGTATTGTTTGATGAAGAATCACTTTCGTATTCATGGAAATAATGATTCAATTATTTGTGATACTTGCTATTCAAAGTTTAAAACGCTCTACGGATTTCAAAAGCACACTGAGCAATGTTCAGCACTTGTAGAGAATAGTTTTGATGTTGATTCAATCCAAGAAGCAGAAAAATATTAAATAAGTGATGATTATTTAGGAGCTTTAGCTTTGCATCTTCAAGGTCAACTCAGATGTGCTCAAAATATTTTAGATTCAATATTTCTGCATGAAAAGCCAAATATTGATGTGTGTAAATTTAAATCTTGTTGTAAAACATTAACATCTCAAAGTTGCCGTGAGAAATATTTGGTTAGGGTATTCAAAATGTCTTTAGTTAAATCTGTTGGTCTCAAAAAACAAGGTTGTACTGTACCTTTTTTAGACACCTTATTATTTTTTTATTTCAATCTCCTGAGATTGCAAAGTAAAATCAGTATAGTTATTTATTGTGATGATCTTGGTATCACAAATCCTATTGGTAAAACACGGTCTAAACACAAACTTTAGGCAATGTATTTTCAAATTCTTAATATCCCTGCAAAATA